GTTTCTTAGTTTTATAGCAGAAATCTAGTAGCATCAGATAGTGAGGAAATATGTAACAAACACCGCTTGATGAAACGTCAGTCTTGGGTTTCAGGCTACCAAGCAAATAGGTATAAATAAATGTAAAATATGATGTCACAGTCCTTGAATACATTTTTGTTATTTGTATAGTATGCTAATATAAAATTCACTCTGCTTAAATCAACTGAAATGTGTTATTAAATAAAAGTGCTAACTTGTATGTATTTTGTTTTTTGTTCACTGTCAACATAATCTACGTAAGACTCGTAACTTTTTTTTACGCCAATAAAAATTACATCTCCACTGACTATAAACTAAATATCAGAGGCAGAAATTTGGTGATGAGTTTGTTCTTGATGTTATAGAACTAAACAGTCTTGGCAGATATTATCAGAGATACCATTTCTCATATCTACATGATCACATGATCACTCCAAGTTAGATTTGAAACCATTTTTCCCTGCATCATCGTCACAAGCGAGTCAGAAATACATTTTTACTGTATTTTCAAAGACAGGAAGAAATATGAAAAAAAATAATATCATATTAATATTGGTAGTGCTTCAGACAGCTTTTCGGTGATACTCCGGCGGCGCAACTTCATACTCGCTAATACTGAATAAAGTAGAGGAGTTTTTCAGTAAATATTTTAAAAAGTCATGAATGTGAGTCAATAAGAGCTGTATACTCTTTTCATCCAGCGGTGTGTACGCCAACATACTGCCAAGTTTTACTGCAAATAAAAAGATACACATGTGTGATAATGAAGAAAGTTTTGTTTTTGTTAGGACCAGCTTTCGGGTGAGGTGCACTGATTATGATTACTATGACAACGCATCAGTTTCAATTATAAATTGTAACAAATACTGGAGAAAAATATTTTTAATTCCTGACAAAACAAATAAATATTCAATTAATATAAATTCATATGTATTTATGATTTGATATTTCAGGGCGGTGTGGTGACTCCCTAAACCAATAAATTTAATTTTTTACAAGAATGTGTCTCACGTGAAATTAACGCTTTGAGAACTGCAATTATCCCACTGCAATTTTGTTGAAACATTTTTTATCTATTTTCTGGACCAAACAGACATAAAATCCTACTGGCTACAGATTTTTATAAAAATTTGGGAATAAACATTTATATATAAACAGTTCATGCGAGTTTTAATTTGTGAATGATGACAAAAGTGGACTTTGGCACATAAATACTTAAAGCAGTTTAACAAACTACTTACACAAACAGGTTGAAAAATAGGCACAAATCCTTGTGTAAAAACCAAATTTTTTTTTTACTTTCATTTTCAATCAATCTTGCACCTGTAAACTTTTAAATTTGACCAAGAAATCTGTCTAAACTGAAACATCCAATGGAATGAAAAAATCTGTTTAAAATTTAGTGTCAAATACACTTTTTATACTTTTTCACTGAAGCCATTTAAAAAAAAAAATGTTTAAATATGTTTGCAAATTGAATCTCCAACCAACTTTCTAATCAACATTTAAATTTTTTGCATGTAAATAAATAGTTTATTACTCCAGCATTCAAGTATTTGTATCGAAAAAAAATTTCTACAATAACACAAATTTGCAATACAGCATTAATTTAGGGGCGAATATAACAAAATGATTGTTACCAAAAAGTCGTAATAAGTGTGGTGCTCCATACATCTGAGACATTGGTGCATCAGGATGGGACGCTAAGATCTTGCAGAGACAATAACGAAACTAAGATTTAGTAATAGACAAGGAAAAACAAGGCAGTATAT